CCACCACCGCCCGGCAGTCTCTACTCTTCTAAAATTCTTAAAAATACCCTTAGGCAAATATGAAAACAATGAGTCCCCTAAATAAGCCATCTGATGGTCTCCATGACAATTTTATGAGCTGAAAACACGCATAGGTGCCCTCGCAGGAAAGAATGTGACATTCGTTAGGACTCTTCTACTGATGAGGTTGCCAATCCCTAAGGTAATACAGATACATTACTAAACTGAAGTACAAAGTGAATCATGACAGCATCAAAGCAGGCTCACAGTTCTTCCTGTGTATTCACAGTGGGGGCTGGAAGATGGCTCAGCTAGCCAAAGTGCCTTCCACCAAGCCTAACAGCCTGAGTTCAGTCCCACAGGGTACAAGGTGAGAACCAGCCCTCAAAAGTTGTCCTCGGACCTCCACACCGCATACACAGAAAACAAAGAAATGTAAAATAAAAAAACACAATGCAAAGTACCTTAAAAAAAAAAGTCAATGTGAATATTCTTTGTACTCTTCGCAGTGTTTAAAACCTGAAGTAACAGAGCTTGAGAGAAGACTCAGCAAGTAGAACACAGGTTTAATTCCCAGCTCCCACATGTTGACTCAAACCATCGAGCACTCTAGTCACAGAACTCCAACACCCTCTTCTGGCCTCAGCAGGCACTGCACACAAACGGTACACAGACATATATGCAGGCAAAACACTCATGCACATAAAAAGAAAACCTTCAGGACTTAAGAGGCACGCGTGCTAGAAAGGATGATAATGTATCTCATGAAAACTATAAAAGATGCAATAATTTCAAAGCAGTTACCTTGGGAACCACTTGGCGTGTTCCACCCAGGGGTCATCTCCAGATTCCCAGCACCTCAGCCCACCATCACAGCAGAAGCACTTGACATCATCACTGTGTCCTAAAATAAATTCATTTTGAACCAAAACATATAAATATATAATAGCTGTCCACTTGCGTGTATACTATAACACATGATGGATCTTTAAAATTCTCAGATTGTTTCTTACCTGTATAATAAAAGCCCGCGCTTGCAAGGTCCTGAGGATGAACTAGAGCACTAGAAGGCCAGGTAGAGAATGTTCTAACACGGGCTGCGTGTGTCTGCATGCTCAGGTTAGAGACAGTGTATCTCGAAGCAGACTGACCCAGGTCTTTTAAGAATGGGCAGCTGGGGAAATGTCTCTGGTGCTCTGACATTGCATCATCCTTCCGTTCCCAGTTGCTCAGTTTCCCATCGCACGCAAAGCAGGCCACTCTATCTCCAGGTCCTATGTAGTAGAAGCCTGCTTTGGCCAGCTCTGCTGGTGACAGAAAAGACAATGGCCACGTTTGGTAGGTGAGTAATCTGGCCTTCTCTGTGTTCATTGCAAAGTGGTAGGGACTTGTGCTCAAAGCAAGACAATCTTGATTTGCTTGGAAGTTCACAGGGTCTGAGGGAAAGCTTGAGTAAGAGCCACTGAAATAGCCAGTGCTCTCTGAACTAGCAAGGCACGGAGACGTGGTGCTTGTCGTTTTGGAAGGAAGAGAAGGCTGAGGGCTACCTTCCAGACTGTTGGCTGGATTCAGAGTCTGTACAAAACTGCAGCTGGGATACAGCTTTCTGTGCTTCTCAATGGGACTGTCCCCTTGTTTCCAGTTGTCCAGCATCAGGCCACAGCAGAAGCACTTGACCTTGTCATTGACACCAGTGTAGTAAAAGCCAGCACGAGCCAGACTCCTTTCCGAGACAGGAACGCCAGTGGGGAAAGCTGAGTACGTGGACAAGCGGTATAGCTCACAGGAAAAGTCGTACTTCAACTCAAAGGTGTCAGCACTCTTCATGAGCTTGGCCAGGAAGGTGCTGTCTTGAACCATGTTCATGGTGAGACAACAGAGAGGGGAAGGGACCAGCCTTTCTCTGGGAAGGTAGTTTTGCGCATGGCTTTTGGTCAGTTTTACTACTAGGCTGATACCTAAAATAAGAACAAACTCATTTTTTTTTCTTTTATATATTTTGGGTTTCAGTAGGATGAAATTCTAAATCATACCCCGATAGATTTTAAGGCACAATTATACACAACCATACCTTTGTATAATCTTCATGCATATAATAAAAACTAGATTCTACCTAATAGCCAATGTATGATTAAGGTAAATCCCATTCTAAAGTACAGCACTTAGGGCCCCTGTGTGCCAGGCATCCTGAGGGACAAGTGTGCTTCCCTTTGCCATGGGATGCACTAGTACACCCAAGCTGCATTAAAAACCTGTGTTTCATATAGAATGAGAGCATGACTTAGATAGTTTTAAAATAATAAATCTCTTTGAAGCTTTCTGTTTAGTTTTTGTTTCCTTTCAAAGGACCAAGATCAGAGTTATTCATTAATCCTCTACTCAAAACACCTTTGCTGCTCATCTGGGTAGCACTAGGGACTGAGCCCAGGGCCTTGGGTAAGCAAAGCCTGTGCCTTACCACTGAGTTATCTTGCAAGGCTCAAACTTCTTTATTTGGGGGTGGTAGTCAACACAGGGTTTCTCTGTGTAGCCCTGGCTGTCTTAGAACCCACTCTGTAGACCAGGCTAGCCTTGAACTCAGATATCCCCTTCCTCTGCCTCCAGAGTGCTGGGATTAAAGGCATACTCACCACTGCCATCTTAAGACTTAAAAACTTTTAGTTTTGGTCATAAAGTATCTCAAAGGGTACTCCCTGTGCCCATATTTATCAAGATAAAAGAAAAAGAAAAGCTCATTATCATCTAAGCAGCAGAGACCTCAGAATTAAGAATTTCTCATGTAAGATTTATTAACCATTAGCAAATCAGTTCCGTGTCAAGGCACCAGCGTTTGCCGCCACTGGCTGGTGTGACTTCCTGCTATGCACTGATGTGGCAGATTTGCTACCAAGGACACCAACTCATCATCTCCAAGTAACAGGAGAAACAACACAGTTGTCACCAAGAGTCTCCCTCCCTCAGGAGGCATCATTGTATCTAACGTCACTGCCCCCTCCAGTACGGGTCCATGAGTCGCCAAAAATAACACCCCAGACTCAAATAGTATGTGAAAGCAAAGAGTGTTTATTCTGCAGAAATCTAGCATGCAGGGGTCTACCATTCATCAAAATGGCAATCCTGTGGTAAACTTGCAGGCTCCATTTAAAGCGGATTAAGGGAATTCCAGGGAGAGGTAGGTGACCTGATTGGTTGGCTCTAACTCTAGGGATATGGGTGTCTCTGGGATTGGCTAGCGTTTAGGGAACTTTCCAGAACTGTTGATGACTATTTTTTGCCTCAGGCCAGATGGCAGGAAAGCCCTGGTTGGCTGGCTGCAGGCTATAGCTTTTCTTGGAACTGGTTTGTTCGGTTCTGGGGAACAGAAACTTAGGCCTAGTCCCCCTGAACTGGCATCTCACAGCCTGTCATAGGGTCAGTCTAGCTCAGTCCTCTCATTCCCACTTGAATAATAGCTCGACTTGAATCCTTAAGATGTTTCCATGGTCTGGCTGGTATTGTTGCTTGAGAATCATCAGTTGGACAGTGGAAATTCATTCCTTGACAAACCTGACTAAAACACTAATTATATAAGGTCCACGAGTTAAGGCTAATAGTAAAAGGATGATAAGTCCAGCCAGGGCTGAAGTAAGGGTGGCTAAGGAAGGGGATCAGTTAAAGAGGAGCTCATACCAGCCTAGAGACTGTTCTCTTTCCATTTTTCTGTCATGCTATCATTTTCTCGGGAGGCCATTGTTTCTTCAACAACCCTGATATGGTTGGCGTAAAAACAGTATTGTCACCCTAAAGCCAGACAGAGACCTATTTGCTGAAGGAACAGTAAATCCAAGCCCCTTCTATTTTATAGGACTACTTCTGCCCGGGAAGAGGACTCCGTTAGGGCAATAATGGATTTTTCTACCTCTTCCAGATCAGCATCTATAGCCATTTGCAGGGCCTTATCATTTTTATCCTGGAGAATCAAGGCTGAGCACCTATGCCAGCAGGGCCAGCTGACCCTAAGAGGGTGGATGTGGCTGCAGCTACTCTTTCTACCCGGTCCACTGGAGGAGCCAACTGATTTAGTCTATCCTTTCCTGACCTAGCCACCTGACGGACAAGTTGTACCAGAACACAAAAGTCCTCAGGCACATTTAAAACTAGGGCATGAACGCACGAGATGAGCCCAACAAGCATCATGGGGGCAGCAGGTATCCTGAAATGGTAGAGGGTACAGTGAGGCTGCAGAGGAGGGAATATTCAGAGGTATCCAATTTCCAACACAAAGTCCCTGTCCTGGTAATGATTTCAGGGTCAGCTTTCCTCTGCCTGACTGTTGCTATTTACATCAGTTACTACCTGTGCTCTGTGAATTATCCCCAGGGACTGCTATTCCTTCATAATAAGGGGGCTAAGTATCCAAGCATAACCAACAGTCTGGGTTAGATCTGTGCAGGAGGAGTTAAGAACCTGGAAAGTGGCTTTTAGTAACTGTAAGGATCCTGACTCAGGTTACAGGGTGGGACGTCTCTGGGGTTCGAGGGCAGTGAGTTGGTTTTACTAATACCTTGTTGGTGCTCCAAAGGACCAGTGGTTTGTGAGAGGCCATGTTGAAGCAGCTGGATGGTGACTAGGAGTCCTGGATCATAGTCAGAGATATAAAGTCTTAGTCTTCATGTCTTACCCTCAGTCCAATCCACTTTCTTACAAGGATCTGCAAACTTAATGATATCGTTGTTGCATCACCCCTTGGGGGTACACAGAGATTAAGGAGGTTCAAAGCAAAGTCCACAAGTCTCTTTTCTAGGAGGCTGGGTATCCTTTCGTATGCAGGACCCAGCTCCGAGTTTTATCCCCAAACCAGGTCACAGCGATGAGATCATCTTTAATGGGAGGCTTCCAATTTATCCATCCGGTAGACTCACATTCTCATGCCACACAGAAAAAGGACTCTGGACCACCACATTTGGCCTGCTGGTTCCAGTCTGAGAATGTCCTGGACAGACATAAAAGGCCAGAGTCCATGTAAGCCTCTGGGGTCTCAGGTGAGTTACAACCATAACCAGGGCAAGGCTGTTGATTTGAGGGGTCCCATCCCTCATCCACAGAGGTCTTCATGAAGGCCAGGGAACCAAGTGCCCAAGGGAACCAAGTGGATGTTAGAGTTGACAGTCTTACCCATTGCAGAATTATCTGCTAAGTTAGACTCAGGGGATAGCGGGGTTAGTGGCTGCTGCAGCAAGCTGTAAGCAGTAGGCAAGCAGGATTAAGAGTGTTGAAGTCAAAGCTTTAATGGTTTGGTGGGATGTGGGGTTGCCTTCCATTGCACTTAAGGTGGGTTGTCTGGAAGTCTCTCCTGATGGGACCTCGACTATTGGGTTCTCTCTCTACTGGCAGGATTAACATAGGAGTGGTATATTCATATCCAGATCTCATCCACATTCACAGCCGTTGACACACAGTCAGGATCACAGTGTGAGGTCCTTTCCATCGAGGTTCCAGAGTCTTGTGGTTTTCTCTTAATCCAGACTTTGTCACCTGGTTCAAAGCAATGAGGGTTAGGGGAGGAGCAGATTTATACACCTGACAGATGGAAGGCCAAAGTTGTTTCTGGATTCTGTGGAGGCCCACAAGGACTCCAAGAACTTGTGGTCATATTCAGCTAGAATATCAGACTAGAGGTTAGGCATCATGCAAGGGGGCCTCACATATAGGACCTCAAAGGGGGTGAGACCCAAGCGATAGGGCGTGTTTCTAGACCTATATAAGGCATAAGGTAAGAGAGACACCCAGTCACTGCCAGTTTCAAGGGTTTATTTAGTCAAGGCCTCCTTTGGGGTCTGATTCATGCTCTCTATCTGTCCTGAGCTGTGGGGTTGGTATGCACAATGTGGCTTCCAGCTGATCCTCAGAACCTGTGGTAGGAATTGAGTTACCTGAGAAACGAATGCTGGTCCATTGTCAGACACAAGCAGGGTGGGCAATCTATACCTGGATATTATGTCTTCTAGAATCTTCTTTGCCACTAAGTTGGCAGTTTCCTTCTTTGTAGGGTAGGATTCTACCCATCCTGAAAAAGTATAAAAACTAGCAGGAATTTATATCCATATGTTTGTGGCTTTATTTCCATATAATCTATTTCCCAATTGGCCTCTAATTCTGGTTTCCAGAATTTCTTGATTGAGACCTGAGGGGTTCCCAAGTGTCCCAAGTAAATATTTTGTATTTTGCCCCTTGCAACAATTCCTTTAACTTTTGGTGACCCAGATGCAAGGCCTGATGGATTTGATGGATGAGTTGTTTAGCAAACTTCTTAGGTAAGATGGTGCAGACCTTGGCAATATGCAACCATCCATCTCTTCTGTAGATTTCCTGGCATTTGATCTGATCTTGTTCGTCCTTAGAAGTGTATTTGGGGACAGCTGGGAGTACAGAGGGTGGCCAGGATACCAGGATCTGAGCAGTGGAAGCCTCCCTGTGGCTTTATCAGCCAGCCTGTTTCCTCAAGCTATTCGTGATATCCCTTTTTGACGCTCATGGCAATGAATTATGGCCACCTTGATGGGAAGCCATAATGCCTTCAATAAAGCAAGTATTTCTTCTTTATTTTTGATGGCTTTTCCTTCGACAGTCAGCAGTCCTCTCTCTTGGTATATGGACCCATACACATGAGCCATGACAAAGGCATATCTATAGTCAGTGTAAATGCTGACTATGGTCCTTTTCACCAGTTTTAAAGCCTGGGTCAGAGCTTTTAGTTCAGCTTTCTGAGCTGAAGTTCCTGGCAACAAAGCAGTTGCCCAAATAACAGAGTCCAAGTTCACCACTGCCCTCTGGCCTCCATCCCCACCCTCACATACCTGGTTCCATCCTGAAGATGAAGCTGCTCCCATCTGGGAAGTAGATGTGCTCAGCATCCAGCCAGGGTATGTCAGTTGGATCTGGCCTAATGTTTTGAACATGCCCCAGAACTATACAGCAATCATGCTGTATGTCTGAGGATGGGTCTAGCAGCGGGGTGGCTGGGTTTAGGGCAGATAATGGATTATATCTTATTCAGGGAGATTCAAAGGCAGTATTTGGAAGTATACCAGTCTAGCATTCGATAGCCATTGGCTGGGTGGATTCTTGAGAATCCCCTTAATATCAGGGAGGGTGGTGATAACAAGTTCCTGACCCATAGTTGTCTTGTCAGCATCCATGACCAGCAGAGTGGTGGCAGCTATAATCCAGAGACAGGCTGGCCATCCCTGAGACATTGAATCCAGCTTCTTAGATAAACAGGCCACAGGTCTTTTCCATGGGGCCAAAGTTTGGATGAGCACCTCCTTTGCTAACCCTTTTCTTTTATCCATATATAGTGGAAAGGTTTGTGAATGTCTAGGATGGCCAGGGCCAGTGCCTCCAAATAGGGCTTTTCTTAAGGTCTTAAAAGCCATGTCCATCTCAGGGGTCCATTCTAATCTTCCTGACCCCTGGTGGCCTCATATAATGACTTTGCTATCTCAATGACACCCAGAGTCTATAAAACCCAGTGAACCCCCAAAATTCCCATGCTTTCCTTCTGGTTGCTGGAACCAGGATTCTGAGGATGGTTTGCTTACAGGCATCTGACAGCATGCCTTGGCCTCACCTTGAGTATGTACCCAAGATAAGTGGCATCAAGTTGACAAAGCTGGGCCTTCTTAGCAGACACTTGGTAACCCAGTTGACTCAGCTCCTGTAGTGGTCTGGTGTAGCCTCTAGGCATGTCTCCAGGTCAGGGACTGCAAGTCACCTACTCCAGTCACCTACATACTGGAGTAAGGTTACTTGAGGGTGAGCCCTCCCGGTACTCACACAGGTCCTCACACAGTGCCGCATCAAAAACTGTGGGTGAGTTCTTGAATCCTTGAGGCAGATGTGTTCAAGTCAGTTGTCTGTTAAAGCTTCTCCCCAAATCTTGCAAATAGAGGCTGGCTTTTGGGTGCCAGAGGCAAGGTGAAGAAGACATCCTTCAGGTTGAGTACAGTGTACATAAGTGTGCTTGGAAGGGGTTTGAAACTCTGGGGTGGATGTCTCCTACTTGTTTGTTTTCCTCCCTGAGATCCTGCACAGGTTGGTAATCACAGGAATGAGGCTTCTGAACTGGAAGGAGAGGCGTGTTCCATGCTGATTGACAAGGAATCAGAATCCCTGCTTCCCAGAGCTGGTTGATGTGAAATGTGATCCCCGCTCTGCTTCTCTGAGCATTGAATATTGTCTGATTTAGGCAGGGTAGCTCCAGCCTTCAACTAGACTAGAACTGGGACCCAACGTCGGGCAAGTCCCATTGGATATTTTTTTTCTGCCCAGACCTTGGGGATGTCTGCTAGGAACCACTGGAGTAATATGCTTGGAGAAGGGGCTGGCTGAGGGAACAATTTGTATTCCAATTCTTGGGCCAAAGTCAGAACATGGATGGGGCCATTCTTATCTAGTACTTCCATTCCCTCTGGGCCACGACGGATTTGGGCTCCCATTTTCGTGAGGAGGTCTCTTCCAGCAGGGGGTATGGACATCCAGGAATGACCATAAATGAGTGGGTTACCTGCTCCTCTCCCAAGTCCACCCTTCTTCAGGTAGTCCATGGATAGGGCTTGGTGCCTACTGCCCTTTGCATCCATGCTCTGTGTCCACCAGAAAGTCTATGGGCTTCCCCTCTCCTTTAGGGTTACCCAGTGCTCATGGAGAGGGTTGGGCCTTGATGCCCTCAGTCATTGAGTTCCTCCAACTGCAGAACCTTTGTCCATTCTTGGGTTTTCTTTAGGGCATTCATTTTTCCAATGGCCTTTCTCTTTGCAATAGTCACATCAGTTCCTCTGTAATGGAGGTTGGGTTTCTCCTTCAGTGGGGACTGGCTTACCTCTGCCCCTTCCACAAGCCAGGTTTTTCAGCTGTCTTTCATCGGGCAGCCCTGGTTTACGGTGGTGAGCAGCGCTTTCGCCAGTTCTCTGGTCTGATGATCCTCAGGGGTCTTTCAATTGTTGAAAACCCTCTCAGCTCTAGCCACTAATTCAGTTAGTTGCTTACAAAGCCGTCCAGATGCCAAAGTTTCCGGCAGATGTTAGGAGCTGCTTAATTGTCAAAAGTTATGTTTATGGCAGACTGGTTCTCTCTGGCCTCCAGATCAGATGGAGTGTAGGTCCTGTAGGCCTCCATCAATCTTTCTAGGAAATTTCTTGGTGACTCATCTTTTCCCTGCACAATCCCACTTTGAACAAATTTGTAGGCTGTCTAGCAGCCTCTCAGAGGTCCTTCACTAGAAACTGGCGGTAGACTGTGAGGCTCCTCTTACCTGCATCAGTGTTACAGTCCTATCAGGCCAAGTCAGAGGAAAGGCCACAACAGTATTGGCCTGGATCCAGCGGGCAGCCCATTTGCTCCCAGAATCAACTTCTGGGCAGCTCCCACAATCTGCTCACTCTCTTCAGTAGTGAAGAGGGCCTGGAGTAGTTGTTGGCAGCCATCCCAGGGAGTTGGTGACTCCAAGAGCTCTATCAGGGCAGATGGTTTTGAGACTGTAGGGTTTGGAACTTCCAATTGTCAAGATCATTAGTGGCAAAAGGAATAAGGGAAGATATGTTCCCTGATCAGGTGGCAGTTTGGCCCCAGCTGTAGGGCTGACTCCATGTGAAATTGAGATTTTCCTCTCCCTCTGCCTACACCAGCAGAGCAGAGGCAACAGCAGGGACGTCAGGGACAGAAACATAAGGGAGGATAGAAATCTGCCTCAGGGGCCAAAGAAGAAAGTAGAGCAGGTGACTCAGGTCAAATGGCAGGGCAGCTCCTGATTGACTGCCCCACAGACAGTGGTTTTCCTTGGAACCGGTTTGTTCAATTCTGGGAAATAGAAACTTAAGCCTAGCCAAACTGGCATTTCAAAGCCTGTCATGGAGTCAATTTAGCTCGACCCTCTCACTCCACAGGTTTATGAAAACTTGGTCATTCTATAAATTTTCTTTCTGAATAAGCTGGCTCACTTAATGTAGCCACTGCCATTTTAATCCTTGCAGTGTATTGAAAAGACCTCCAGGGAAGACCTTTAAAGTATCAGTGGCCCCGTGGGTGGACAATTATCAACTCTCATATCTGTCTTACTTCTAAGTTTGTTACACCTATCAGAACATTCTGTTCCTGTTTGTTTTCTGTGATTGCTGAAGGCTTGTAACATGTCAGCGACCTCCTCAGCAAACTTCTGTAATCCTGCAGAAGAATGACTACTGACTTCTTCTGGATAACCAGCACTCATTTTGGATCTTTCTTGAACACAGGCACTTTTTTTAAAGATTTATTTATTTAATGTATATGAATGTTTCATCTGCATGTATACTGGCATGCCAGAAGAGGGCATCAAATCCCATGACAGATGGTCATAAGCCACCATGCGGATGCTGGGAATGGAACTCAGGACCTCTGGAAGAGCAGCCAGTGCTCTTAACCATTGAGCCATCTCTCCAGCACCTAGGCACATTTTTTTAAAAAACTGGTAGACCGTGGGAGGTTGCCAGGGAACTTTCTGAAGGGTGCTGCCCCAGCCATAGAACTCCTTTCCCTTCCAGAAGTCAAATGCACAACAAGTCATAATAACCACACCTCAGAGAATGAGATGACATGCGTTCAATTAGCATTTTTAGACACTTGTCTCTCCAGGCGAAAGACCACCTCCCAAGATCAGACTAAGTCCCTTTTAAGGGTTTTAGGTCTCCATTTTGAGATGTTTTGGTTTACGGAAGAAACTGAGAAAAAGTTTAGTAGTAGTGGAAGGGTTTGTGTCCTTTGTAAACCTGTTTAAAATAGAGTAATTAAAGTCAAATAATACAGTGGCTTTTTTTTTTTTCTTTCTCCCCCAACTCCCTGTTTTTGGAGCTAGGATTTCCCTATGGCATTGAACACAGCCTCAAACTCGTAATCTTCCTGTCTCATGTTCCCAAGAACATGAGATCATGCTAGGATCACAAGCAAGCACCACCACGACCTTTTCCTTAAGACGTTTTCTCCACACCAGAGATTGGTATATATCGAGAAGCTATGCAAATTTGGGCTGGAGTTGGGATTCAGCGGTAGAGGCACACCCAAGGCCCAGCCACGGTCCCCAGCATGGAGAGAATGCTGCTGCACTGGGTACCATCAGCCAAGAGACCTCACACAGAAGCAACAGAAGCAGAAGAGTGGCAGACCAGATCGCATGCACACACGTACAGCACATGCACACTCAGCAGGTGCTCTTAACCACTGGGCCATCTCTCCAGCCCCACTTTTCTGAAATCTTTCAGTGATTTCTCAACAGTCCCAGTACTTCAGTTTATCCTTCTCATGTGCCTTTTTACGTTTTTGTTTGCTTTGTGTTTAAGACAGATACCCACACTATAGCACAGACTGGCTTCTTTAGCCCAGGTTGGCCTCAAACTCATAATAACATGAGTTATTGAGTTCTGAGGTTACAGGCATGAGCCAGTCACTCAGCTTCTAATCATTTCCATTAAAATTACTAATGCATACTGACTATAAACAAATTAAAGAAATTAGTGGATTTGCCTGTGACACTCTCAAATCAAAGCACAAACATATATATATATATATGTTTGTGCTTTGATTTTTTGATATATATATAAATATATATATATTTGTGCTTTGATTTTTCTTCAACCCTCTCCTGCCCCTCCCACCTCTCCATTGGTTTTTAACAGCCCCTCTTTGGGGAAATGAAGGCACATTTGTCTTTATACCTCTGTCTTTTTATTTTATTTATTTATTTATTTATTGCTTACTATGATTTCCGGTTTCATCTACTTCTTCAAATGTAACATTTAATTTTCTTTACAACCGAATAGTATTTCAATGCACACACACACACACACACACACACTTTTTTTTGTCCTGTCAACAGACATCCAATTTGTCCTACATTGAATAGTGGTACAATAAACAGAGTGTGGTGTGTGGTGAGTTGAATGAGAATGGCCCTCATAGGCTCATGCATCTAAATGTCTAGTCTGCAGTTGGTGGGCTGGTTAAGAAGGAATAGGAGGTGTGTCCTTGTTGGAGGAGAGGGTGGGCTTTGAGGTTTCAACAGCCCACACCAAGCCTAGTCTCTCTCTCCTCTCCCTTTCCCTTCCTCCCTCCCCCCTCATTCATTCCCTCCTCCTCCTCCTCCTCCTCTCCCTCTCTCTTTGTACTTGCTTGGCCCTGGGAGTGGCATGATTAAAAGGCTGGGCAGTGGTGGCGCACACCTCTAGTCCCAGCACTTGGGAGGCAGAAGCAGGCAGATTTCTGAGTTCAAGGCCAGCCTGGTCTACAGAGTAAGTTCTAGGGACAGCCAGGGCTACACAGAGAAACCCTGTCTTGAAGAGAAAAAAAAAAGTATGGCCCTGTTGGAGTAGGTGAGGCTCTGTTGGAGTAGGTGTGTCTCTGTGGGTGTGGGCTTTAAGACCCTCATCCTAGCTGCCTGGAAGCCAGTTTTCTATTAGCAGCCTTCAGATGAAGATGTAGAACTCTCAGCTCCTCCTGCACCATGCCTGCCTGGATGCTGCCATGCTTCCTGCCTTGATGATAATAGACAGAACCTCTGAACCTATAAGCCAGCCCCAATTAAATGTTGTCCTTATAAGAGTTGCCTTGGTCATGGTGTCTGTTCACAGCAGTAAAATCCTAAGTAAGACATACTGCTCCCGCACCATGACTTCCTGTGCTCTGCCATGCTCCCCATCATGGTCATCACGGACTCTCCCCTAAAACTGTAAACAAGCCTCAGTTAAATGCCTTCCTTTATTGGCCATGGATGGTGTCCCCTCACAGCAACAGTGCAGTGGCTAAGTCCCAGGTACGTAGGTACACTCTTCCACGTGCCTTACCAAGGAGCAGGAGAGGTTGAGTCCTGTGGTAGTTCTGTTTTCAATTTTTCAAGGGGCTGTCCCACTGATTTCCATAGAGGCTAGACTAGCTTAGGTCCCCAGCAACAGAGGCATTTGTTTTCTCCACATCCCGAGCAGCATTTGTAGAAATACCCATCAGTCCTCTCCAACCTCACTACTTCACTCAACTAGCTCCATTCCTCACGAGGTGAGCCCCTCAGCCCGCCTTCCTCTGCCTGCTCTCCGTTCACAAGCCTATTGGCCACCTCAGAGAACAACTGCCCCTTCATGGACCTACTCTCTCCCCCTGCTCTGAAGGACTCCTCTTCACATTTCCTCAAACCCTGCAGCACCCCAGTCCCTCCACACAGTACTCATGCTGAAGTCTCTCTCTGCTTCTGAATGAACATACTTCAAAATCCCCTTTTTCTACTCCAGCCACTCCTGAGTCTGGCCCTCCCTCCACAGCCTAGCTGGCAGAACACTTGTTTATGACCCACATCTCCACACAGACAGTGCATGCGCCAGCGTCCTTCAGTTTCCATATTCGTAAAATCAAATTTGCTGGAAGCACTGGCATCTGCCATTGGGCCCACTTCCTCTTAGGCATGTACCCATCCCTGTGTCCACATCAGGGTATAGGAGCCCTCTTTCCTTTCCAGTGGTTCCTTATAGATGAGCTTGGCACCCCAGTTTCTTCTCTGCTTACTCTACCATGTCCAGCATGGACTATTGGGTGTTCCCACCCTCTGGGGCAGTGAGCTGTGCCACCTCCCTGACCCTGTAGGATAAATGAGTCTCTTTCCCTCCACCTTGGTCCATATCTCCTTCAGAATAGGAAATGCGCCCTAACATCTGTAGTAGCCACAGTGCCTAGGTGCTGTTGGTGAGACATACAGCCCAGGTTGGCCTTGGACTGTTAGCCTCCACTTCCCAAGTGCTATGATTACAGGCCTGCACTACTAACCCCAGCAAAACCTGTCATCAAAGAATTTCTTAGCGGGCTAAGCCCAGCATGTTCATGGCATCGCCATTTATTAGGGTCTCTTGTGACTGCTGACTTGGCCTCGTGCAATTTGCTCCCCGGCCTTGGAGTCACACATCACAGGAGTTCAAGAGAGTCAGTCCCTTTTCCACCAAGAGTGTGACGTTGGGCAAGAAAGCCACTAAGTGGCCAGATACACCCTTAATCCCCATACCGGAGGCAGAGGTGGAGCCAGCCTGTTCTCCCAGCCAGTTCCAGCCTAGCCAGTGCTACATAGTGAGACCCAGAAAACCACAGGTGCCTCAGTTTCCTCAGTGCAAAATGGAGATTGTAATGGCACCTGCTTCTTAAAACTGATGATCAGAACCTGGCATTCGGGAGACTGAAACGACTCCAGCGATTTACCGATTAGATTAAGAGCACTGCTGAGAAATTGAGTACAGTGACTCAGACCTGTAATCCCAGCACTGAGAGGGTTAAGGCAGGAGGATTTTCCGGAGTTCAAAGCCAATCTCAGCTATAGTGTGAGATGGTCTCTGACACACTCATCACCCCTCAAAAAGAAAGAGTACTACTGGTTTCTTGAGCTGATCACTAAGAAAACAATCGAGAGCTTCCCTCCAAGCTCATCCTTAGAAGCCCGGGATCTCACTGTGTCAAGTCTCCCAGATGCCTCTCGCAGCAGCTGAATTAACGTGCCAACTCCTTGGCACTGACGCCTCACTCAGAAAGTTAAAACCTGGAGCTCCGGCAAGCAGGGGGTGGGGGTGGGGTGGGGTGGGGGGCAGAAGCAGCTAGGGTCAACGTAACCAGCCTGCATGTCGCCCTCCCGCAGGACCACTGATGCACAGAAGCCGGTTTTACAGGTCCTCGCTCGGATTCAGCCACCCTGGTGATCCTCGAGCCACCACGGGGACCCTGCCCTGCTCCCCACGCGCGCGTACTCACCGCAGCCCGACTCCTAGGCTCTGCACGCCAGCAATGACCTCTGATCTCCGGGGGTGGCACCCTCGCCTGGTCTGTGGGGTGTGGCTGAGTGTCGCGACACCTTTAAATTGTCCCTAGCTTGGCCTTAGCCACCGCCCCCACCGTGCCCCGCCCAGGGCTGCTCTGGCCTGCGGTGCTTTCCTCCAGGGCTCTGGGGAACTCCAGGGTGAAAACCACACGCACTTCCTCCTCACCCCTGGTGGCCACCCTGGCCGGGGATTTCCGTAACCCTTCTGTGCGTGACTTCCTGGACCCAGATCCTCCTCGTGTCATTTACTGAAAGTTTTTACTTCAAGGCGCTCGGCTCTTACAAACCATTGAAAACAGATGTGCAGCCTATGGGTTGCGCCTGAAGAGGCCTTTCCCTACCCCACCCCCACCCCGCTCCCCTCCTGCAGCCTTCAAGTCCTTCACTGTGAAAAGAGCCACAACTGCCCAAGATACAACTGCTAAGT